CATTTCATCCCATTTATCCTCCATTATGATTATGAAAAACAAAATCTTGGTCAAGTAGACGGGCAAGGGTCAAAAAACGGTGTATCAATCAGTGTGGCGTACAAATCAGAGGGGATGAGACAGAGATTGTGGTCAGGTGGAAATGCAGGAGTCAAAAAACAGTATCAATCAAAAGCAGATGTGAAAACGGGGAAGTGGACAAAATGCGAGGGCAAGAAAGAGGAGCAAGGATGGCTCTGGGGAGAAAAAGAGAAGATGTTGTTAAATGACTACCAAATAATAATTAAAAGCAGATCAAAAACCCACACAAAAATATCTTATTTAAAAAAGATGGAAATCTCTGACTTTGTATTAATATTGAATTCCTTTCACCATTAGATATCAAGAGATAAAACACTATAGAAAAGGATTAGTGACGAGGCTACATCCATGTGAAACAAGACACATAAATGAAACGTAATTTATCTTTTTTACTAGTGTGAGATTTCATAACACTTTTTAGCAACTTTTGTTAAAGTTAAACTCATCATTCTATCAATGTGCAGAAGCCTGTACTTTTCCACTTCATGTTTTGAGTATCTCCGCTGCACTGTGGCAGCTGCTGATTGGACGTCTCTGTTTCTCCTGAGTATATTATCATTGGCTGTCTTTAACATCCTTTGTTAGTGTTGTTCGTGCTGTCTCTACCATCGACAATAAAACATGTCTTTTGTCTGAATTAAAGACGCGATCCCAGACTTTGTCATCTTCTTCACTAGTACATAATGTTACCATCTCTCCACGAGCAAATATTAGAAAATCAATACTTTTCGGGAGGGATTATGACCGCGTGTTCATTCATACATTACGCGTGTACGTAAAATGTATCCCCATAATGTAATTTGGAACCCAGGAGTATGGTACAAAGTTGAAAAAGTAATATAATTTTCTGTATAGGATTTGGTAAAGTCAGTGAGGTCAGTGAAGTCAACGCGCTCGGTTGCAAACTTAATAATATCCCTATGCATTTAACTCTAAAAAAAAAAACACCATATATTTAAAATGAATCACTGTTGGTAGCGTTACATACAATAGCATGTTGGTCAATCAGATGCAGTGTTTGTTTCACTTAATTTCGATGTATGCAAGTCCCTATCAAATCACAGGATGATGTTTGCTGATAGAACGTTATACTAATACAAATATATGCCCTTGGTAACGGAGAGCCATACTCACGTGAGTTTTCAGCTTCGGTGAAGAGAAAACAAAGCTATAGTTTCCACAGTACGCGTCATCGGCCTGCGTCCGCAGCCGAGGACTGCTATCATAACATTAGCATTGTAGTTTCACAGGCAGAGTTGACTGCTTAAACTAAACTTTACACGAAACTTTGACTCTTAAAACCCACATGTGACAAAAAGGAACCATCAACATCTCGCCTCAAATTTCATTAAAAGTGACATTCGTGACTTATTTCGTTCGTATTTTAACTTCTTGGTTTGCTTCAGCTGCCGTGAGACGCGCATGCGCAGATTTGCATTACATCATTCATTACATCATTAACAGCTGGGCGTCACAACTCGGCAGGACACCGGGTCACCGGGGCTTGGCCATAGACATAGGCTGTGTCCAAAACGCTAGGCATCGGGCCGCGTATGGTGGATATGTAGGCTCGTGACGTCACTTCCTCATGCGCCTCGCCTCGCAGGGGTGTCCAAAACCACTTGGCGAGCTGGGCAGAGTGCCTTGGTCTCTATGGAAACGGCCACTTTTGGAGCAGATTTGAAGGATACATCTGATGTGTGCTTCGTTGCCTTCTTTTTCCCGAGTCACGGCCGCGCATGCGCAAAACTCCGTTCAGCATTAACATGTAAACAACACACTCAGCTCGGACCTGCTGGAGCTAACATTATGGTAAGTACTGCTATACTTTACTGTGAAGTTATGTCTATAGTAATGTAAGGTAGGAAAAATGAATGTGGAGCGGCTAGTCTCCGTTCCGGTCCGTGTCGGTATTAACCGTCACTAACCAGCTCGGAGTCTCACCGTTCCTTAAAGAGGGATCTGAATTTATATTTAAGGGCACCAGTAGAATTTGAAAACATCTACAACAGATCCAGTACTAATCTGCCTCGATCAGTCTCACAATCTGATAGATCTTGAGTTCGAAATCAGCCAGGGATATCAAAAGATTTATAAAAAAGGACACTTGTCGATGACTAAGTTTATCGTGGGTTTATTGACTACATACGAAATAGGAAAATCAACGAGGATGTGTTTGGTCACATTAAACAGAGATGTTAAACATATCACGTGAATCACACATTAACATGGCAATTGGAACAGTCTTACTTTGACGTAGTCCGTATTGAAGAATAAGGAAAAGGGGGGAGTCCACGTGTTCCTTTGTTCGAGCAGGAGAGACGAAGGCCAGCAGATCGGATCAAAACTTGAAATCCACACACACACGCGCCTATCTAGAATGGCGCCGTGTATTCGCAGAGGTCCAGTCCAGAAGCCGGAAAGTGGCTTGTTGATGAGAGTTCGTCGTCTCCGACAGCGGGGTCGACAGCTGTCCTTGTGGAGATAGAGGCTCAAAGTTGTTACAGGCCCAGAGGTCGCCAAGAGGTCGTTTTTCGACTTGCGTGTGCTTTTTGTCCCAGTTCAGGGGGCGCGTCTATGACGTCATATTTGTGCGCCTCCCTGGAAATCTTTAGTGACAGACATGGTTATAACGACATATGCATCACTGACACCGACGTTTATAACACATACAGACACACAGCGCATTTACATTACAGACAATGGTACACACGTGTAGAGCACAGTAAAGGTTATCAGAATAATGACTTCACGGAGCGATGGTTTCGACTGTCCATCTCGGGTGTGCTAGCATCCCGTGTCCACTGGGGGGCGTCAGAACGCCGTTGGTGGATCGCCAGTCTGCCTGGGAGGAATGTCTTCAGGCCTTATCGGAGATTGTACAGACCCGATTTGATCTTTGATCTCGCCGGAGAGGGAGGCAAAGATGCTTGTTTCTGGGGTCAATCATTGTCCAGGTTTGAAGGTTGGTATCTTTGTGATTAATGTTAGTCCTCCATTCGACCTTTGCTGTCTCAGATGTCTGCTCTGGGGTGGACATTCCTAAATCCCCTGTTTTCTTATCTCACGCTAGTTAGTTTCTGCCGAGGCCATTCTCTGTTGAGTAACCCTTTTGTCATCTTACAGTAAGCACTGCTATACTTTACTAATGAGTTTTGAACACGACTGTTATGATAAAACACAGACATGAGTTAGATCTGCCACAGATGTGTGTGTTTGTTATCTGCTGTAAATCAATCAATCAATCAATCAAATTTTATTTATAAAGCGCTTTTCATACAAAAAGTGTAACACAAAGTGCTTTACAGTTTAGTTAAAAACAATCCAACATGCCCAGCCCTAAACCCTCCTCCCCACAGACCCCCCCCAAAACCACATTTATAATTATATATACAACCACATGCGTATACACACACACACATATACACCCACACACACACACACACACACACACACACACACACAAGTATAAAGTCATATCAGGTAAAATAGGTAAAACAACAAAAAGACATGGGGCTGGGAGCAGATGTAACCGGCTGAAGAAGCGTCATCCAAGGAGCCGTCTGCACCAGGAGCAGAGAGCCGCCTGCAGCCACAGGCAACGACACAGGACCCAGAGGAGAGAGGGGCCCCAGACCCCACCAGGCCCAGGACTCAGACCCCATAGGACCCAGAGGAGAGAGGAGGCCCCAGACCCCCACCGGATCCAAGAGCCAGTCCCCCGAAGCCACAGCAGACCCCAGCTCTCAGTGCAGAGGGCTCCTCCAGAGGAAACACTGGGGACACTAAAACAATACAATAATACAATAGAAAGTAGAACAATAAAATGCGACAATAAAAAGAAAGATGGCAGCTGCCTAATATTAATAATAACAATAGTAAATGGTTAGATACAATAAATAATTAAAAATAGTAAATAATAAAAATAAATAAAAATAGAATGTGTCTAAAAACATAAATAGATGTACTAAAAAGCAATAATAGATAATAAATACTAATCAAAAGCTACTCTAAAAAGGTGTGTCTTGAGCCTACTCTTAAAAATATGAACGTTCTCTGCGGCCCTGAGCTCCTCCGGCAGACTGTTCCAGAGACGGGGGCCGTAGTGCTGGAAAGATGCCTCGCCGTGAGTGTGTGTCCTGACTTTGGGGATGGTTAGGAGTCTGCTGCCGGAGGAGCGCAGGGGCCGGGAAGGTTCATAGGATAAAAGCAAATCTGAAAGATAAGAAGGCCCAAGACCATTAAGACATTTAAAAACCATTAAAAGAACCTTAAAGAAGCTCAGTCCTGAAAAGCTAATGCTAATGCTACGAGGCTAGTTCATTCAGATTCTGTTTTTGAACAAGAAAAATCATGTTGTGTTTTATCTTTAGGGAGAAACAAACACTGATGAAATATTAAAGCTACACTGAGGAGAGATTCACGTTTTCATGGAAAATCACTCAGCAGCACAGCAGTATGCTAACACATGTTTTCTGTATTCATATAAAATAGATTGTGCATATTGTTTTTAATCCCATGAGACTGGAATACTGTATACTCATGTACATTTACTGTATATATTAGACATATGGAATTATAGAATAGGCCAAGAATAATTATAAAGCCCTTTTCATACAATAGTCTAATAAATAGTAAAAACACATTATGTTTGGTTTGTCATTAAGACATTTGCAGAGGACAAAGTCCCACTTTCACAAACACAGGTTTAAAGTGGTTAGCCATGCTTCTAACTTGGTTATTTGTGTATATTTCTATCATATCATTCTTCTGTTTCCCCTGCTGTGAAGCTTGTATCTCTAATATTAAATACTGTAAGGATTTCTGTATTTTATTTTTAACCAGTTTTTTACAAAGCCCCAAATAAATAGTATTAGTTGAAAATGAAGTGTGAAAAGAATCCTAAATGTGGGCTTCACCTCCATCACCTCCTGCTTCACCTCCATCACCTCCTGCTTCACCTCCATCACCTCCTACTTCACCTCCATCACCTCCTGCTTCACCTTCATCACCTCCTTCTTCACCTCCATCACCTCCTGCTTCACCTCCATCACCTCCTGCTTCACCTCCATCACCTCCTGCTTCACCTCCTGTTTCACCTCCATCACCTCCTGCTTCACCTCCATCATCTCCTGCTTCACCTCCATCACCTTCTGCTTCACCTCCATCACCTTCATCACCTCCATCACCTCCTGCTTCACCTCCATCACCTCCTGCTTCACCTCCTGTTTCACCTCCATCACCTCCTGCTTCACCTCCATCATCTCCTGCTTCACCTCCATCACCTTCTGCTTCACCTCCATCACCTTCATCACCTCCTGCTTCACCTCCATCACCTCCTGCTTCACCTCCAGCTTCACCTCCATCACCTCCTGCTTCACCTCCATCACCTCCTGCTTCACCTTCATCACTTCCTGCTTCACCTCCATCACCTCCTGCTTCTCCTCTATCACCTCCTGCTTCACCTCCATCAACTCCATCCCCTCCTGCTTCACCTCCATCACCTCCTGCTTCACCTCCATCACCTCCTGCTTCACCTCCATCACCTCCTGCTTCACCTCCATTATCTCCTGCTTCACCTCCATCACCTCCATCACCTCCTGCTTCACCTCCATCAACTCCTGCTTCACCTTCATCACCTCCTTCTTCACCTCCTGCTTCACCTCCATCACCTCCTACTTCACCTCCATCACCTCCTGCTTCACCTCCATCACCTCCTTCTTCACCTCCATCACCGCCTGCTTCACCTCCATCACCTCCTGCTTCACCTCCATCACCTCCTGCTTCACCTCCATCACCTCCTGCTTTACCTCCATCACCTCCATCACCTCCTGCTTCACCTCCATTATCTCCTGCTTCACCTCCATCACCTCCATCACCTCCTGCTTCACCTCCATCAACTCCTGCTTCACCTTCATCACCTCCTTCTTCACCTCCTGCTTCACCTCCATCACCTCCTGCTTCACCTCCATCACCTCCTGCTTCTCCTCCATCACCTCCTGCTTAACCTTCATCACCTCCTGCTTCACCTCCATCACCTCCAGCTTCACCTCCATCACCTCCTGCTTCACCTCCATCACCTCCTACTTCACCTTCATCACCTCCTGCTTCACCTCCATCACCTCCTGCTTCACCTCCATCACCTCCTACTTCACCTGCATCACCTCCTGCTTCACCTCCATCACCTCCTGCTTCACCTCCATCACCTCCTGCTTCACCTCCTGCTTCTCCTCCATCACCTCCTGCTTCACTGCTGATAACAATATGAACTACAACAAACTTGTATATAATATTTTCATTTAATCATCAGTCATGAATAGTTAGAACAGTGGGCTCTGCATCTCTGAAGACATGTAGCAATAGCAGGAGCAGCAGCAGAAGGAGCAACAGGAGGAGTAACAGCAGCAGTAGCAGCAGCAGCAGTAGCAGCAGCAGAAGGAGCAACAGCAGCAGGAGCAACAGGAGGAGTAACGGCTGTAGCAGAAGGAGCAACAGCAGGAGTAACAGCAGTAGCAGAAGCAGGAGCAGCAGGAGGAGTAACAGCAGTAGCAGCAGCAGGAGGAGTAACAGCAGCAGGAGCAGCAGCAGAGTCCTGGGCCTCTGCCTCTGACACAGGTCTCATCGACAGCACTTCACAGAGAACCTGGAAATAAAGAAAACAAAAATCAAACTTGTGGTTTTATTATGATTTTGTTGTTTGTCTGAAATGTAAAGAGTCAAAGTGAGGTATTATTTACACAACTACATATTTGTCAGCAGTACTTATACTTGAATACATTAAACTCAAATGTGATTAGTAACGGTCTGTTTGCTTTTCAAGACATATAAAAGTGAATAAGAGCAGTGTCAAACATCTGTGTTCAACTCCATCCATCCATCCATCCATTTTCTTCCGCTTTATCCGTTGCCGGGTCGCGGGGGCAGCAGTCTAAGCAGAGACGCCCAGACTTCCCTATCCCCACACACCTCCTCAAGCTCGTCCGGGGGGACCCCTAGGCGTTCCCAGGCCAGCTGAGAGACATAGTCTCTCCAGCGTGTCCTGGGTCTTCCCCGGGGCCTCCTCCCGGTGGGACGTGCCCGGAACACCTCCCCAGGAAGGCGTCCAGGAGGCATCCTGAACAGATGCCCGAGCCACCTCAACTGGTTCCTCTCGACGTGGAGAAGCAGCGGCTCTACTCCGAGCTCCTCCCGTGTGACCGAGCTCCTCACCCTATCTCTAAGGGAGCGCCCAGCCACTCTGCGGAGGAAGCTCATTTCCGACCGCTTGTATCCGCGATCTCGTTCTTTCGGTCATTACCCACAGCTCATGACCATAGGTGAGGGAGGGAACGAAGATTGACCGGTAAATTGAGAGCTTTGCCTTTCGGCTCAGCTCCCTCTTTACCACAACGGTCCGATACAGAGACCGCATCACTGCGCACGCTGCACCGATCCGCCTGTCAATCTCACGCTCCATCCTCCCCTCACTCGTGAACAAGACCCCGAGATACTTGAACTCCTCCACTTGAGGAAGGACCTCTCCACCCACCTGGAGAGGGCAAGGCACCTTTTTCCGGTCAAGCACCATGGCCTCGGATTTGGAGGTGCTGATTCTCATCCCAGCCGCTTCACACTCGGCTGCAAACCGTCCCAGTGCATGTTGCAGGTCCTGGTTCGTTGGAGCCAGCAGGACGACATCATCCGCAAAAAGTAGAGATGAAATCCTGTGGTTCCCGAACCGGACCCCCTCCGGCCCCTGGCTGCGCCTAGAGATTCTGTCCATAAATACAGTGAACAGAACCGGTGACAAAGGGCAGCCTTGGCGGAGGCCAACATGCACCGGGAACAGGTCTGACTTACTGCCAGCAATGCGAACACAGCTCTGGCTCCGGTCATACAGGGACCGAACAGCCCTCAGCAGAGGACCCCGGACCCCGTACTCCCGGAGGACCCCCCAAAGGACACCCCGGGGAACGCGGTCGAACGCCTTCTCCAAATCCACAAAGCACATGTGGACAGGTTGGGCGAACTCCCATGAACCCTCGAGTATCCGATGGAGAGTATAGAGCTGGTCCAGTGTTCCGCGACCGGGACGAAAACCACACTGCTCCTCCTGAATCCGAGATTCGACCATCGGACGAAGCCTCCTCTCCAGTACCTTGGAGTAGACCTTACCGGGGAGGCTGAGGAGTGTGATCCCACGATAATTGGAACACACCCTCCGGTCCCCCTTCTTGTAGAGAGGGACCACCACCCCGGTCTGCCACTCCATTGGCACCGCCCCCGATCGCCACGCGATGTTGCAGAGACGTGTCAGCCAAGACAGTCCTACAACATCCAGAGACTTTAGATAGTCAGGACGGATCTCATCCACTCCCGGCGCCTTGCCACCATGGAGGCTGCCAACCACCTTGGTGACCTCGGCCAGGGAGATGGAAGTATCCGCCCCAACATCCTCAGCCTCTGCCTCCTGGACGGGGGACGTGACGGGGGGATTGAGGAGAACCTCGAAGTATTCCTTCCACCGCCCGACAATATCCCCAGTCGAGGTCAGCAGCCCTCCACCCGCACCATACACGGTGTTGGCAAAGAACTGCTTCCCCCTCCTGAGGGCCGGACGGTTTGCCAGAACCTCTTCGAGGCCGACCGATAGTCATGCTCCATGGACTCTCCGAACTCCTCCCAGTCCCGGGTTTTTGCCTCTGCAACAGCCCGGGCCGCGGCACGTTTGGCCTGCCGGTACTGGACAGCTGCCTCAGGAGTCCCACGAACCATCATTGCTCGATAGGACTCCTTCTTCAGCCTGACGGCATCCCTTACTGCCGGTGTCCACCACCGGGTTCGGGGATTGCCGCCGGGACCAGCACCAGAGACCTTGCGACCACAGCTACGAGCCGCCGCATTGGCGATAGAGGAAGAGAACATGGTCCACTCGGACTCGATGTCCCCCTCCTCTGCCGGGACCTGGGAGAAGCTCTCCCGGAGGTGTGAGTTGAAAGTCCGTCTGACAGGGGGCTCAGCGAGACGTTCCCAGCAAACCCTCACTACACGCTTGGGCCTGCCAGGTCTGACCGGCCTCCTGCCCTGCCAGCGGATCCAACTTACGACCAGGTGATGATCGGTTGACAGCTCCGCCCCTCTCTTCACCCGCGTGTCCGAGACACGCGGTCGAAGGTCAGATGATACGACTACAAAGTCGATCATCGACCTCCGGCCTAGGGTGTCCTGGTGCCACGTGCACTGATGGACACCCTTGTGCTCGAACATGGTGTTCGTGATGGACAGGCCGTGACTGGCACAGAAGTCCAACAACTGAACACCGCTCGGGTTCAGATCAGGGGGGCCGCTCTTCCCGATCACCCCTCTCCAAGTGTCACTGGCATTTCCCACATGGGCGTTGAATGTGTTCAACTCCATTTTACAGATGTCAGTTATTATTATGTATCCATGGATGTGTCAGTTATTATTATAGATCCATGGATGTGTCAGTTATTATTATAGATAAATGGATGTTCCAGTTATTATTATAGATAAATGGATGTTCCAGTTATTATTATAGATAAATGGATGTTCCAGTTATTATTATAGATAAATGGATGTTCCAGTTATTATTATAGATAAATGGATGTTCCAGTTATTATTATAGATAAATGGATGTTCCAGTTATTATTATAGATAAATGGATGTGTTGTGGAATTACTAAGGAGTGAAATACACAATATTAAATATAAAATAAACAACAAGAGCTGTAGTTCAAATCAAAGTGTGGTTTATTATCTCAGTAAATGTATACATATACAGGAAATACAACCGTGCAACCGCGTGGCAGGTCCCGGGTAGATCTGCTGAACAGTGCTCATTCTCTCTCACATTTATAGGATGGAATAAACAAAAGAGTCTATCTATGGCGCCTCTGAGTCCGAGATTAAGTGGCAGCTATTGCCCAAACCCCCCTCTCTTCTGACGTCTTACTCTGATAGACTCTGATATTACTCTGATATTAGGAAGAATTGTCACTATGACCGGTGAGCCTGCTCTTGTCGTCCCTGCTATCAATCTCGTATCTGCCTCAACCCCGTCATTGGCCTCGCGTCTCTAGAGAAAAACAGCTTAGTTAGTTTCAATAGACTTACTGGCTTTGAACTTAGTCCCAGATATCCCATTTCATCATTAGATTTATTCGTAAGTTAAATTGATTTATAATCCCAGTAAGATTTCTATAACAATGCACCCCTTTGATAATATAAACCCCGTTTATCTTAATCAACTTAATTCTAGCTATAGAAATTACAATTATAAATCACAGGAATTGATTCATCAACAAGAGAGAGAATGTGAGCATTTTGAATAAGTAGCATATTCACAGTTTGATTACAAAACAAAAAGGAAATTAAGGAAACCACACTTATTTTCTTGATTACATTAATCACACTGGCTGAGTCACAGAACCCGACTCAGGGGGGGCAAAGCGTTACTGGACCTGACGGTCATCAGCCGACCTCCACCAGATCTTATGGTCATCTGGCACGTCAGAGCCCCACAGAGGGTCGTGGGGCGGCATGACCAAGGGAGTGTCCCGCTTTACCTTGGGGAAAAGTGGCTCATGGGCGGAGATAATGTACGAGTGGTCCGCGGGCACGGCAGCAGCACATCTGCCGATCCATCCTGCCGGCAGACAATCATACATACGGTAACCACACAGGAACATATGGCCTTCCACTGGGTTGGTACCAAACATGTCCGGAACAGTGAGATAGGCGGCACACTTAGAGTTGGGGCTGGCCTGGGACTGGTTAAACCTGTGTGTACCATACATGTATGTGCATGGGGTGTATACTGCCGAACAATACTCCAGGGGGATTTTGCCTACAGATACGGGGTCTAGACTCATGCCAGCCTCTCGAAGTGGTATCTCAGAAATGGTTTGGGCGTAGCAAATAAACTTGGAGCATGGCTGTATATGCACAGGCCCAAAAAGGGGCTCTCGTCCGGGCCTCTCCCCCACCTTAAACACAAGGGCAGACCTGACAGTGGGGCCCTCATGGGTGAGCGGATCTGGGATACTCATCTTAAAAACCGATGCTACTGCCCTCCCCAGCATTTTATGTTTTCCCCTGGAGGCTAGGGTGAGTGGGATTAGTGTAGTGATGTTGGGCACTGGCAATGGCATTACATGGGGGTTAGCGGCTGCAATGGGCATGTGAGTGCAGACATAGCAATCACTCCGGTTTTGGGTTTTGGCCAAATATGATGCGTAGCTATACCAGTAGTTAAGTGAGTATACGGTGGAATGTTTACGGGTTTTAATCAGTGCTTCTAGCCAATTAGACTCCCCAACATGGACCTCCCTTTCTCCTCTACTAATACCCTGTCCTCGCACTAGCCACGGCATGTATGAACACCACGACATAAATGTTACAGCCGTAAGAATAATCATAGAAAGATGTAGGGCTGTTCTCACAACTTCCTGTGAGCGCCAGCTAGGGGCAGTCTCTCTCCACCCCCCATGTGGGCGTCCAGTCTCTGGGTTGCCCTCCCCTGAGCTGGATGTTTGGTCAGGGCTTCGGTTTACGGGGGCGTAGTACCCGGTCGGACTTGACACACTGACCAGGTTTGCTGCGAGACCCCGGAGGGCGCCCCCGTGTCCGGACGCCGGGCACGCCGGCTCATGCTCCCGTGCCGCACCCCCGTGGGAAGCTGTCGCTGAAAGACCCGCCTCTCGAGCCGCACCCCCGTGGGAGGCTGTCGCTGAAAGACCCGCCTCTGGAGCCGCACCCCCGTTGGAGGCTGTCGCAGAAAGACCTGCCTCGGTCCCTCTGGTCCCCTCCGGACGGTGAGAGTGATTCCCCCCTGGGCCCCGGTGCCCCGGTTTTGGCGTGGTGTGGGGGCCGCCCCCTGGGCTTGGGCGGGGGCCCCCAGGGACTCTTGCAGCCCCGCTTGGCGGAGACGGGACATCCGGATGGACCGCGGCGGCGTCTGGGACCTTTCTGCAGTGGGAGGCGTGGATCCACGTTGCCCTTTCCGCGACTTTCACTGCCGTCTCGGTGATGAGGAGGACGATGAAGGGGCCTCTCCAGCGGGGTGATTTCCAATTCACCCTCCGGGTCTCCTTCACCAGTACTGCGTCCCCGGGCCTGATGTTGTGTAGGACCGATGTGGCCGGGCTTGGGAGGGCAGCTTTGACCTGCACAGAAATGTCCAAAAGCAATTTATTCAACTCTTTACAGTATGACAGAACATCATCATCACAAAGTGAACCATGTGGTAGTTTTCTTGGAGGTGGGTCACACCCCAGGCTGGGCGGCCTGCCAAACAGTATTTCGTATGGGCTTAGGTTGCAACGTGCGCGTGTGCGCATGCGCATATACATGAGTGCCAATGGGAGGGCCCTCGTCCAGGTCAGCCCTGTGTCTGCACATATTTTCTGTAACTTACGCTTCAGGGTCCCATTCTCACGTTCCACCATGCCGGCTGATTCCGGATGGTAAGAAGTGTGTTTCCTTAGGTCAATCCCCAGGAACTTGCCCACCTCCTCTACCACTTTGGCCACAAAATGGCGGCCGTTATCCGAGGACACCCTCCCGGGGACCCCCCACCTAGGGACAAGTTCGTTAACCAAGGCCTTGACCACTGCATTGCTTGATGCATGCTTACATGGGTATGCTTCCACATGGCGGGACCATGCATCCACAAAAACCAGACAGTATTTCTTTCCTTCACTAGGTGTCAACTCAATGAAGTCCATCTGGAGGTGGTCAAACGGCCTCTTAGGGGGCGGGTGTCCTACTTGCGGAATCACTTTGGTCTTACCTGGGTTGTTGGCCAAACAGATTGCGCAAGATTGACAGAATGTTTGGGCGTAACTAGAAAACCCCTTTGTATACCAGTTCTGTGTCACTGCTTTCAGCATTCCCATCTTGGAGGCATGGTCCTTGCCATGTGCGATGGTAGCCATGTGTCTGAAAAAGTGTTTGGGTAAACAAGGTTTATTATTTGGCCCATACCATACGCCTGTGCTCCAGGTGGCACCATTTTTGTGCCACACCTCTACCTCTGCCTGTGTAGCAAAAGTTTGCATCTCGGCCAGTGCTGTCCATGTGTCAGCACTACCTTCGTTATCTGGTTTTGTCTCCAGCGTAGCCAGTGCCCCCGCTCTGCCTCTGTCCTTGGGGCGCGGATAAGCTGCTGCTTTTGCAGCTGCATCCGCTCTCCTGTTCCCTGCTGAAACTGGGTCATTGGCGATTGTGTGGGCCTGGCATTTGCAAATGGCTATCTCTGTTGGCATCAGTATGGCCTGCAATAAATCTGCAACTTGCTTGGCGTTTAGTATGGGTTTACCATCTGACTTCAGAAATTTCCTGTGCCTCCATAACCCCGCAAAGTCATGACAGACTCCAAAAGCATAGCGGGAATCTGTAAACACAGTCAATGTCTTCCCTTTTGCTATCTTGCATGCCTCTGCTAAAGCCACCAACTCTGCTGTCTGGGCAGAGAAGTGGCTCGGCAGGGCACCACATGTAATTGTTTTGTGGTCTGAGCATACAGCAAATCCCACTCTGCCTTTTCCTGTCTCCGGGTCCCTGGAGGCCGACCCATCCACGTACAGCACCCAGTCGGCGTTCTGCAATGGCACCTCCCTCAGGTCCACCCTTGAGGCGCAAACCAAATCAATCTCCGAAATACAACAATGGGGCTCTCCCTCTCCCTCTACCGGCAGCAATGATGCCGGATTTAACACTGTGCACCTCTTTATCTTTACATTTGGGAGTTCTAACAGAATTGCATTATATCTCAACCACCTGGCGGCCGACAGGTGAGATGTTTTCTGCTCCATCAATATCATTGAGACAGCGTGGGGGACCAACAAAGTTAAGTCTGTATACCCCACCAGATCGCGCGATGCCAACACGGCCCTTTCCGCTGCGGCTACTGCTCTCAAACAACGCGGGAGTCCCGCAGCCACCGGATCCAGCTTTGCGGAGAAGTACGCCTCTGGCCTCTGCCTGCCCCCATGTTCCTGTAACAAAACAGACACCATACACCCATCCCTCTCATTCACTGTTTGGGTGAATGGTCGAGACGGGTCCGGTAGGCCCAAAGTGGGCAGGGCTTGTAGCATCATTTTCAACTCACAAAACGCGGTTTCTGCCTCCTCTGTCCACACCACCCTGTCGCCCCCTCGCAGGCCTTTCCCATGTATTAGGGCGTTGAGTGGTGTCTCGTACAGAGAGTAGTTTGGGATAAATTGTCTGCAATATGAACAAATCCCAACAAATGACATCACCTGTTTTTTTGTCAGAGGCCTGGGGATGTTTTGTATTGCTTTAGCTCGTTCCCCGGAGATGGCCTTCCCCTGCGCTGATATCACATGGCCCAAAAAGATTACCTCTGTCTGTGCGAATTGCAGCTTGTCCAAGCTCGCCTTGTGTCCCTGTTCATGTAGATATTTCAACAACGTCACTGTGTCCCTCCTGCACTGCTCCAGATTCTGTCCACAAACCATCAAATCATCCACATAACAGACCAGACAGCACCCTTCAGTCAACACTAGAGAAGTCAACGAGTCACACAAGGCGCTGTTAAACACGTGAGGGCTTATTGATAAACCCTGCGGCATTCGACTGAAAGTCCAAAGTTTCCCTTCAAACTCAAAACCAAACCAAAACTGTGAATCTTGGTGTACTGGCACTGAAAAAAATGCATTTGCTAAATCTATCACAGAAAAAAATTTAGCATTTGCTGGTATTTGAGACAAAATGGTGAAGGCATTTGGGACCACGTTTGCTCCTGGTAGAATTGCATCATTTACAGCCCTTAAATCAATAGTGAAACGCCATTTTTGGGGCTGGCCTTCCTTTTTCTGTTTTTTTATGGGCAGGATGGGGCTCTTCACGCCCCCTCCTTTGCAAGGGACAATCACCCCGGCCTCTCGAAGTTCATTAAACACCGGTTTAATACCCTCTACGGCTTCCTTCTGGATGGGGTACTGACGCCTATAGGGCCGAAAGTTGGATTTTGGTACAATAATGACTGGTTCACAGTTGCGTATGAGCCCCACATCGGCCGGACCTTTAGCCCACAGGTCCCCTGACACCGCGTGCAACTCTGGGATTTTACTGTATTCTTCTACAGTTAAATAGCACCCTTTCTCTGTTTGAGGGGAATTTTTACTTAATTTGTGGCACTGTCTTTCACCTACGATATGACGTATGAAAGGTTTTTTCCATGCTCCTGTTTTGGCGGAAAATGTCATTGCTTTTTCAGTTGTTTTTTCCCAGTCACTCACTTCCACACACTCATTAATGAAACCTGCTACATCTGTCCATTTTTTCTCCCTTGGTTTTATCAGTGGAATGTTTAGTCTAACTCCTTGTGGAAATGTGAGAGTGGCTGGCTGCACTACAGACAGAGCTGCATAGTCGGTGGACCAAAATAGTATTTGGGTTACAAGTACGTCATTCATCCTCTCACACCAGCACCCACGCATTTCAGAATCAATATTTTCACAAGTCACAATGGAACAATGTACCTCCCCAGGTTTTTGAAGCGTCAAACCGTCTGAATATGGCATTAGGTCTTTAATTACATTGATTATATCGATTGAGGGTTTTGGTGGCAATTTCCATTCGAATATGTTGTTGGTCAGACAGTTTAGAGGTGTGTCAATCGATGTCTCTCTTTTTTCAGCGAGAGCATTCATGGTTATCACGTTGAGACTTTTTGGGGTCGGCACTAGGCATAGACCCAGGCCACAGATTAAATCTCGGCCCATCAAATTAACAGGACAATTTTTAGAGTATAAGAAACTGTGTTTGAAATCACGGTCATCTGGCTCACAACATTTTAGTGGGTTTGTAAAGAATTCCTTTGTAACACTTCCCCCTGCATTTAAAGAATGTGTAAATCCACTCAGTTCTGGGACAAACGTGACCGCGGATTCATTAATTAATGAATAAGTAGCTCCCGAATCTACAAGGAATGTGACTTTTTCCCCTTTTATAGAAATGCTGAATTCTGGGAATGGGATTTTGGTGTAATCTTCGCAAATATATATGCCGACAATCACATCAGTCTCCAACTGTCATGTTTGAGTTGTGTTTTGTTAACTTTACCCGGTCCGGTGGCCGCTCGCTTTGCCTCATCATCATCCACACTTCTCCCGTTCCTCGGACTCACCCCGTCTAGTCAGTCACCATAATATTCGGCCCCAGACCCACGACCACGGCCTTCTCCGGTCCATTCTCCTCCCCTCCTTTTTTGCCCTGGGAATTCCCCTGGCTGCTCACTTTCCTCTGGCTGCTCACTTTGTCGTTTATCTTTGTTTTGGGGACCGAACCTCCCACGTGATTTTTTGTTTTTGCTTCGGCAATCTTTTGCCATGTGCCCTCGCATACCACAGGTGAAACATTTAATGCTCCCTCCTTTTGTGTTTGTGGTTTGGCCCTTGATTTGTGTCCCATTTCTGTCTCTCTGGCCCCCATAGCTCATAGCAACCAAGGCCGCGCATGTTGCCTCGAGCTGTGTCTCTGTCTTTCTCTGTTTCTGCTTCTTTTTGTCTTCTATTGCCTCATAAACGTGATAGGCATAACGCAGTACCTCTTTCAGCTCAGGGTTACGTTGACCCCCCACGTAGCAGGTGCGGACCCCTTCCGCCACGTCGTCTCGGATTCCCCTCATGATTGCGTGGCAGAGGTGTACCTCGTATTCCGTGGAGCCCTTGGCCAAAGCGCTGTGTCTCTCGAACAGGGCCTGAAGTCGCTCCAGATAGCAGTCCAAGGTTTCCTCTGTCCCCTGTCTGCAGCCGTCCACTTTTCGCATGTCTCTGTGGGGGGGGAAAGAATCTGCAAGTGCCTTGGTTAATGCTTTCAGTTCCCTCAAATAATCAATATTGTCCTCGTACATTACCCGGTTGGCGCTGGCCTGGCATGTTGCCAGTACCGGCTCTATCTTGGCCATGTCTGAGGGTTTCATTCTGTGGGCCAGGAGCCTGCGCCATTCGTACGCCGAGGGCCTGTATTGACGACAAAACAATTCGAATTCAACCCCGAAATGTGGCCCGTCCTGCACTGGATCGGGCAGGTGTCGGGCTATGTCTCTTAGTTCTTCTGGCTGCCAGGGCCTGTAGATGTATGTCTCCCCATTTGCCCCTGCCACAGCGACGGAGGGCATTGTCCAGCTGGCCGGGGTGGGTGGGATCGTTGGGATCATGTGTGGCTGAGCTGGGTGGGTAATGAGGGCATGGCTGGGACCATCTATGGGGGCCGTGGCTCGGGTGGTTCTCTGGACCAGTTGCGGGTGGGGGTGGTGAGCTTTAATCTTCTTTGGGGCCGCTGGTGCGGGGGGAGGGCCAGATGCTGACCCCCCAGATGCCGGGTCCTGGGGCTCGGCGTCCAACCAGCCGGGGTATGAGTCCAGGTCGGGGTCCATGTGTCTGATGGGTCTGCGAGCGCCCCCCGGCTCCAGGCCGCCTAAACTGGGGTATAGAGAAGATACGGCAGTGACAAGTTCTTTGACAGTTAATTCGTGTGTCCCATCTTGTGTGTGTGTCGGTGCCTGTGTGTGTGTGTAGGGTTGGTTGGCTGCGTATTCAGGGGGGTTGATTGGGGGTTTTTTACCCGTGCTTGTGTCTATGTTACATTCATTCTGTAAATCATCCCGCACTCGTCCTTCACATTTCATTCGTACTCCTCTGTGGTTTGTTTCCCCATTCATATCGTCCTCCTCAGTCACACGCATCTCATGCACACAACGTGTCTCCTTTTTCACACACTCAGTCACTTTCAAGCCAGTCTGAGTCGAGCCCCCTCCTGTACTGGTTCTGGGCTCATTATGTGTTTGTGTTGTAGGCATGGTGTTGTCCCCAAATTGTCTACTCTGTCTATTTGTTTTCTTTCGTTCCCTTCTTTCTGCCTCATTTATCCACACATTCAAACATTTATCATGTTTAATGATCTCATGAATAATATCAGATGACATTTTCTTTTTCTTGGGTATATTAAGTCTCTCTTTTTCCAAGTTTTCTCTGAGTTTATATAATTGGTTCAAACTGAACGATCCTCCTTCAGGGAAGCCGTATTTCTTGCATAATTAAAATGTTGTATACTAATGATTTTGAAAATAGGCCCTCTGAAGAATGTGCACGGGGAAAAGCCCCAAGGACAAGGATTGCAAACAGGAATAAAGAGGGTCAAATGGAGAAACTACAATCAGTCATAGAGATACCAACTTTCAAAACGGGACAAATTATTAACTCCAGGAATAAACATTCTTGTCTCTCTGGCGAGGCCAAAAGTCCAAAAAACACCATCTCTCAGGCAGACTGGGAGATTCTCCAAAGGCATTCTGACGCCTCCCAGTGGACACGGGACGCCAGCACACCCGAAAAGAACATTCGGGAGACGCCCACAAGTGACGTCATCAGACGTCTTGATAAAACTGTTGGTTTGAGTTCTGGGGGGGGAAGGTTAGCGCAGGGGTAGAGGAGAGGGACATATTAGTTTAGGAGCACTTTTTTGTTGAATATTCTGTATCTGATTGTAAAGATAATTAAATGCAGATGTTAACCTTGAAGAATCTTTAGTCTGATTTCTGTACCAAATTGTGGACACGCCAGCCAAAGGGAATTATTGGCTTCATTTGGTGACCCGAGACGTGATTTGATACAGAAAGAAGACGCAAGATGAGCTCAGATAGATAGACTGGGTCTGTTGGGTCTTGGGGCTCTCTCTACTGCAAAACACAGGTAAGCAGATACCATTTCTAAAGTCTGCACATTGTTTTAAATAGAAGAGAGAGAGATCTCGGCCCAGCATGACTGCAGCGTGGCCAGACCGCCGTGACGGGCGTTCGATCGGACGCGATAGAACAATAGTCAGGTTTTTCGACGTTTTTGAACCTTGAGGGATGCTGGTCTCTCTCTAAAAAAGAATATACAGGAAGAGAGCCACAGGATTTAGAAGTGCAAAAGAGGCACACCGTTTTAAGGTGCAAAAGAGGCACAAGAGTTTAGATAAATAGGATTAGAGAAATAGGGGCAGTATAGGGTCAGAAGTGATAGGATAATGAAAACTCCATATCCCCCGGGGGGCGGGAAAAAAAGGGTACATTTAAACAGAAAAAAGCCAAGTATTTAAAATGTGGATTCTGATAATAATGATCTGATTAATGAGAAAGGAAGGAGCCACTTGGCTGTAGTATACGAGTTTCATGTGAAGAAATGACAAAAGATCAGTCTGGGAGTTTTTCTCTTGTATTCTGATGTAATGTTTCGATAGTTACAGAGAATCAGGAAAAAAAAAAAAGATTCTGCTGGAACCCTCGATACATTAATCAGGTAGCAAATAGTAATGTTTTCCATTACTGACGTATTTAAGGATAAAATGTAAAGTGTCGTTTGACGTGAGAAAAACTTTTACCACTGATTTAGAACCTTGTCACGAAAAAAAACGAGAAAAGTATTTGACTCCATGCTTCCTTTGTTCGGGAGGCCCCTCCCCTCCCTCGTTCTGTCTCTCTCTCTCTCTCTCTCTCTCTCTCTCTCTCTCTCTCTCTCTCTCTCTCTCTCTCTCTCTCTCTCTCTCTGTCTCTCTCTCTCTCGTGAAGAAAGAATTTTTTGTAGAAAATTACATTTATACACACGATAATGTTACTGACATGGAGTCATAGGATCACAGAACTTTGAGCTAGATTATAAAGAGGCATTATTTTATTTTTTATCTCCAAGGCGTCTAGACAAGTTTTTTTCCCTACATTTTGGTGATATAAAAGTTAGAATGATCTTAGAGAGCATTATACTTTTGGAAAAATAGGGCTTAGGATAGTAGTTGAATGCAGATTTGGTTTTCAGAATTTAATGTTTAAAATGTTAATAGTAATTATTTCATAGGTTTATTTTGAATTGTAATTAATCATTGGTTTGGTATGGTAATTAACACACTTGTTTGTGTTTCTTGTTTGTCTGTTTTTTCCGAGAAAACTTCTGTCTGTTTCATTTGGCCAAAAATCGTCCCTGCCACAAACCACAACCGAGCATCATCATCATCATCATCAGCGTCTCCCCCTCTCCCTGCGGGTCGCAGGGGGCAGCATCGGCTGCAGCAGCTAACAGGAACTCTCGAAGAAGACTCCTCCTGCCTGTGAGGAGGCAAAGAAAAGACCGCAGACTTTTTCACAAACTGAGTGTTGTCCCATCTACGAAACAGAAGGTGGCGGTAATGCGAAGAATAGGCCGCCAACCGCCGGAAAACCAAACAAGAAGAAGAAGGACACGACACATTTGGGTGCGTCAGATATGAAAGAAGAAGAAAGACATTATGAGGAAAAGTTATCGGAAGAAGAAAGAAAGTGATTGTTGAAAGAAGAAGAAAGACATTGTGAGAAAGAGTTATCGGAAGAAGAAAGAAAGTGATTGTTGAAAGAAGAAGAAAGACATTGTGAGAAAGAGTTATCGGAAGAAGAAAGAAAGTGATTGTTTAAAGAAGAAGGAAAAAGACATTGAGACAAAGACATTGGACACTTTGAGACAAAAGACATTGAAAGACGCCATGAGTAAAAGAAAGACATTAACGGACATTTGAGACGTGGCTGGCCTAAATGAGACACACAGAAGGTAAATATACAGACAGACAACAAACGCACAGAGACATATTAAGTCATATTTACACATTTAGCTAGGTCATTCGTTCATAACACCACATTTAGCTGCATGAAAGAATACAGGACAATCGTTAAAATTAATTAGACTCTTGCTTTAGCATGAGACACAAGGAGATTAGAACAGCAGTATATTTAAAGTAGAGGAGCTCTATTATTGAAACTAGTATTATTATTTAAAGTTATAGACGCGGAGAAGTTTAGAATTATTGATTTTAACTGCATGATCTTGGTAATACGGATATTTAAAGCAGTGTTTTCAACCTCTGAACCGTGGCTCGTTTCTCATTTAAGAACAATCACATGCACAGATGAAACTGGTGCTGGAAAGAGAACTGCAGCTTTTAATGGACGCTGCATTTAGTACAAAATGGTTTGTTCAGACAATTAAAGTTTGAAAAATGATTTAAAGCATTTCTAAATTTTGGCTAAAGGTGATATTGGATCATTTCTGATAACACATAGACGCAACACTGTTCATTGGTTGAAAACAAAGATGTAGGGACATTTTATGAAATCTTTTATGACATGTTTCTCTTCCAAATAGCTAAATTAGAAACAATTAGGACAATTATGTCTTTGATATAACTGTTGGCAGTTTATCTGAGACATGATTGGTGCAAGTACACACACATAAAATAATGGTCTTTTCTCCACATGAACGTGAAACAAAGGTGAAGTATTAAAGTTTGAAACTAATTTACATTTTTAAGGAATCCGAACTGGCTTTAAAAAAAAAGGGAAAAACATTTATTGCACGTGCATGAGTTTTTTTTTAAGTAACAAGAGCTCATTAAAAATATAGGGGACACAGTTTGTGACAAGCCCGAGTAAAGACCACGTGGTTTAAACACTAAAGTTTGAAATGGATCCTTGTAGGAAAAATCTATTAAAAGCTCTGCATATTTTGCAGGCTCTGAAAGTTGCAACTATAAAATAGCTCATGAGACAATTGTAATTGGACATGGAAAAATATAACAAAGTTAAAATTACAGGCCTCTTGTGTATGTTATATGTTTGTGTATGTTATATGTTTGTGTATGTTATATGTTTGTGCGTGTTATATGTTTGTGTATGTTATATGTTTGTGCGTCATGTCAAAGTACACTACGTTGACCTTAACAAACTGGACCAATACTAACGTGGGGTGTTGTGAGTGTGTTGTGAGTGTGTTGTGGAGTGAACTGAGGAATGCTGAACGGAATCATGGAATAACAAAAGTTTTCTGTAATGTTTTAATGTGATCATGGAATAATTATTTTTTGTCAACAGCATACGGTGTAAGTACTAGAGATTCAAAGATGACAAGCTTTATTGAACAGGTGTAAAAGTGAGAGTACTCTGGGATGAGTACTCTGAGAAAAGTACTCTGAGAAAGTACTCTGAGATGAATACCTTGCTGAAGGTACTGGGAGCCCCTCCCTCTGCTGTTTGTCCGGACAGGGATTCGGTCCAACCGCAGTGAGCGGTCATTGGGCGGAGGACAACTTTGGTTTGTAATTCACATTTAGGGGAGTATAAAATTAGAAACATACATATTGTTAAGTCTGTATTTGGCTACAGCTTCTGCCCTGATGCCAAACACCGTCTGTCAATGCAGTTATGTTTTGCCCAATTAGATTGATTGACAGGCTGCACCATGCGAAGAGAGGGAAGTGGGCGTTTCTTGTGTTCTAATGTTTCTTTTTCAGATGAAAGATAAACTGCACCTGCTTCAGGGATAACACAGTAGTATGGATCATAAGGAAATGAGCCTCTACTTTGGCACCAAAGCC